ATTTATTTATTTATTTTTTTTTTTTGTGGATCTGTGCGACATGAGCTACCCACGAATAAAAATGGACATGGACGGCCGACGACACGACTCAACTTGACTCGACTGTCACCGCCTCGCCCCGCCTTGCACCACCTCGGCTCGCCTCGACTCGACTGTAAGCCTCTCATCATCTCTGACTGATGGCTGCACATCAGCGGGCGCAACGGCGACACTTTCAATTGCACGCCTTCAGACTTGGTCGCACTTTCTCGTTGCTCTGGGCTTTGATTTGAGCTTTTTTATGGCTTCTTTTGGCGCTACAATTTGAATGTCATTAGTGTCAGCGGCCGGCAACTAACGGAGCTTCCAACTACCCACAGCGGCGTGTCGGACCGCAGCGAGTAGCCAAAGACCACGCCTGCGCCTGTCATTCTTTAAACATACCCTGGCAGAGTTGTGGGTAGTTGGATTTTGTTATGCTTTATAGAATGTGTTTTACAATCGACAATATAATTGATTAGCTTTTAAGCAAAGTTATGGCATTATAGACGTTTATAAAAAAGTCATTATTTCTTTTAATCTTCTACTATCTAATTTAGTAGTTGATGTGGAAAAATGATGTGTGCAGTTATGGCCGTGCCTAATTGAAAAGTAGTTAGTAAGATATCAATTTAACGCTTGTCTGTGAATTACAAGGTGGCCTATCTGCTGGTAAAATATTTATAAGGAGGATAAAGCTCCTTTAAACTGATACAAGTCGGATCAGACAACAAAAAAAATAATCAATCAGCGAAATTCAGCTTAGAAAGATGACAAACTGACTTGCTTCAAAAATTAACTATTCGCTTAAACAAAAACCGATTAATAGCTAAACCCACAGATTTTTTGACAGCTGATAGAAACAAAAATCTTAAAAATTTCTTTTGTGAACACATAAATTGATTTTATATTATTTTTTATTATTACAAATGTCTATAATAATTAATGATTTCTTAATATGCTACAAGCGAATTTTTGTTTCTGAGGGTATTTTTAAGTTGCTGTATAAAAATCGAGTAGGGCTACAATCATATAGCTACTTGATCTTGTTCACACTCTTCATGTACGTGGCCAATCGGTCACTTGGCTGTTTTTTCTACTTCTTTTTTTAATACAATTTTAATTTGAAGACACGTTAAACATTTATTACAATGTCATTTCCACTTGGTCTCTCGCCGGACACATTTTGTGTGTCACGCCAAAGTCTCGAAAGTCACAAAAAAAAAAAGAAAATAAATTGTAAACAACTGCACTTTTCATCATCCCCTTCCAGTTTGTGCCACTTTTGTTAGCTGGTTACCGAATCTCGGAAAGTGTCGTCAATGCCATGTTAATTTACTCGACCATTAACGCCGTTTCGGCGCTTATCTAAGAGAGAAGCCAACAACTGTTATTATATGTATTATGGGTAGCTTTGGAAGTAGTTAGTTTCTTTGGGGGCTAACAAGCCGGAGCCATTGTTCTCGAGTCGCGGCTCTCGGCGCCAGTGAATACCGTCATAATCTGGGCATACTTATAGTAATGCCACTTTGCGCTTTGATTTCACTTGCCAGATAAGCTAATACGCTTCTTGCTCTCTAGATCGAAATCATAGATAAATATTTAATTAGGCATTTTGCTATAGCAGAACTTTGTTTGTTTGTAGATTGTTGTTTCAGTTGGATTGTCGGAGCCGGAGGGTTCTCCACTCCTTAACACCACAATGGAGTTTTGTTTTCGTTAGAGTTAAGAAAACTAAACAAACAAAAAGCAGGCAGTTTTTTATCTGATAGGGGGTAGAAACAATTTGAAAAATATCTGGTAATTTTATAAATTATTGCTAGTTTGATATGTTAAAAAATTTTTTCTGTTAGTCAACCATGCCGGCAATTTTATGGGAACTTTATTGAAAGCTAAATTTTTTATTTGATTAAAATAGCTATAAACAAGAGTTAATAATGATTGCAATGTAACTTTGGTCTTTGCTTGGTATTTATTAACAAAACTAACTTGATCTAGGCTAATATTTAATACAATATGTGTTAAGGTTTGAAAAAGTTTGAAAAAATAAATTAGGCAACGTAATATAGATTTTTAATAAATATAATTTTTTCTTTTTCTAATTTTAAATGTTACAGTCAGCTTTACACACTATTTACAAATCCTTTACACTTATTTATTTCACACATGTAGTTTTATTTTGGAAAACTTTCATTAAGCATAACAACTGTGCTGCAGCTTTTAAAGCTCACTAATACATTTGCGTTTGAGTTTGTCTGTGTGCAATAACAGATATATTTGATTATTGAGCCGCTTGCATATTAAAACATCCGTGATGCAACCTCTGAGAGACTGACCATTGTTGCAGATATACGCGGCGCCTTGGGGATTTCTTTGATGTTGTTTGCAGCTATTTGCCAGCTGTTAATGCTGCTAATTAGCTAAAGGAAAGCAAAATTGCTGGGCATTTACTAGCAGCTAGTCCAAGAATTTTGCCAGCCTGACGCCAGGCTTTTCTTTTTTGTTTGTATCTATTAATCCAGCGCCTGTCTGTGGCAGTGGGGAACATCTTGATATAATTTGTTGCTAAATGTCGGCATGCTTCTAAGTATTTAGTATCTGGTTTTTAGTTATTAGTCGTAGCAAAAGAAGCGAGTGTAGACGGATCTGTTTCTTAGATGAATGTCTCATGTCGCCGCCAGAGATCTTGGAGCTGCGGGTTTTGCTATTTGTTTTGGCGCCTTTAGCTTTGACGTTGATCTCAGCCAGTTGATTGCTTGCCATTTCATCTAATTAACATTTTGTGCGCTTTGTAGTTAATAATTATGGTTAAAACATGTACCCCTGCCCCTTTCCCGATTTGCCACACTGCAGCTGCAGCCACACACATGGTTGTTTCTTTGGAAAGTTTGCCGCGTGTCTTATATAAATTTCTGTGTAAATGTAAATTATTTGCAATTTGCCGAGTCGGTTGGTTGGCCGCCTGGTTAGTTGGTCATTTAATTTTAAGTAATTGTAGCAAGCAGTTAGTAGTTATCTATTGCTGCTCTGACAACTCGACAACTCTGGCAGTAAGCCCCCCTCTGTTAATTATTACAATTTGAAAGTTTTGCATTAATTGTTGTTTGGCTTTTAGTTGCAGTTATCGCAACATCTACAGCTGCATTTTATATGCAAATTAGCATTCGCCAGGAAAATGTTCAACACAGTCCAGCCAGTATATTTATGCTCATGAGCTGCTCATGTTGATTAGCATCCTCGTGTCTTCAGCATCTCGTTCCTCTCATGGCACTGGCTGTCTCATCCTGTCCACTTGTGTCTGGCGCGTTGAAAAGCGTTGGCATATATGCTGATAACATTGGAAATGACCATGTGGCATTGCCTGGCATTAAAGCTGACAGAAATAATGAGAAGTGTGATCTTCATCATTGCCATTATTATCATTGCCATGATCATCATCGCCAGCCAAGCCGTGCCATTAAAACTTGTTTTTTCCTGGAATGCCAAGCGAAACTTGACAACTATAATAGATCAGCACAAAGAATGGCTCAGCAGATTAGACAAACGATTTGTTTATCATTGGGAATATCAAAGACTTTTTCATAAATCTAAGAATAGACTGCTACGAGGGCAATAACAGCTAGGGCCTCGTTTGCATTGCTTGCACCAGCATTAAAAAGAGCTGAGATGCTTTTTTATTTTGCAGAAGATTGCAATTTCTCAATTATAATATGCTCCATCTGTGGGATCCTTTAGTTTTGAACTAAAAAAAACTTTCAAAAAAAAATAAGATAAGTAAAAAAAAAACCAAAATAAAAAATGTTCTAATGAATGAATAAAGATTTAAACATTAATAAAATAACTACAAAAATGTATATATACGTGTACATATTAACATATAAAAGCAAGTATATAATACTAAACATAATGAAGAGTTGCCTTCTTATTATATTAAAATATAATAAAACTATGCACATATTGAAATCATTTTAAAATAATATCGCAGTACAAGATAATTAATAAAGTATTCGATTTGACTATTAGTGAAGAGTATATTGAAACATTCTTCAATTATGACAAAGTAATATCATAGCTTATAATGCTTGCATATACAACTGCAGTAATCCCACTAGCCCCCTCTACCGATAAACTATATATAATGAGCATCATTCAACTGTCTAGATGTATTAAAGACTGCTCTCGCTTTTTACTAGCTTAAATGAGATAGATCTTAACTGCGTTTTATACGCCCTACACTTTTTGACCTGCAATGCGACCTTTACAACCTTTTAAGCCCGCCCATTGACTGTCAACTTACCAGAAGATAACTTTCTAAAGGCCACGCATGCCTCGCAACTGGCAGTTAAATATGAAGAAATAGCTGGGGGATTAATGAACAAGCTCGATTACAAGCGGCGGCTGCTCAGAACTGAGAAAATACTACTTGATAATTATTAATTAGTAGGAGGGCATAAAAAGCGTAGCAAAACGATCAAAAAATACCGGGTCACATACTCGAGATGGGGAAGAATAAGAAGAAGAAGACAAAAGACAACCTACTACAAAACAAAAGTCGTAGGCCGACAAAAATGATGATGCGATGGATGTGGCTGGGGCTGTGGTTGAAGACTGGCAGAAATTTATAAGATTGACCCGCATACCAGTGTGGGGGCCAGACAGACAGTTTTGTCAGTTTGTCAGTCAGACAGTTGCACAATTAGATAAAGCATTTGCGATGAATGTTAATTGAACTCTGCAAATTGTACTTTGAAGCATTGTTCGGGCTACCGTCTGAGCTTGAGAGGTTTTTCCTGTGCATCCTTGACGGATGCTGCTTGCATTCCACGTGGAGCACTTAATGGCTCTCACATCACCTGCTGCCCACATTGCTGTCTAGCTGGCCAGCTGTATTAACGGCTTTTATAAATTATGCATTCCGACTTTGATACGATATTAACATGCGGCTGATTGAAATTTTGTATCTTGTATCTTGTTTGTTGCAGCTAATGAAAATTGACACCTTCGGCAAACAACGAGCCGAACTTGTTGGCCCTGCATGATGCGTGGGTGGCAGCAAATTAGAGAACTGAATTATTTTTATTGATATCGACTATTGATGATGATGATGATGATGATTTTGTTGCTGTTGACGACGTAAATGAGGACGATGATGATGTTGACCGATTGACCAGCACAGAAAGCCACAGAGAGCTGCCATGTGAGACGAGACATTGTTTTCAACTCAGCAGCGCCCCCCGTTAAATAATATAACACACACATACACATATCAAGTGTGAAAGAGAAAACGAGAGCGAGGGACAGAGAGAGAGAGAGAGAGCGATAGAGAACAGACAGTAAGCAAATATCCAGAGACAAACGGAGCGTAGCACAAACAGCGCCATGGAGTCCGAGTCCATGGAGCAGGATGTTATGCTGGACGGCAACGAAGATCTGATGTCTACATCAAACACATCTACAAATGGCGGTGCCAGCGACACAAATGGATGCGCCAAGAAAACGGTGAGTACTGACCCATAAATACACTGATCATTACCAAGGATAGAGCCAATACACAGAACCCAAGCGAAACGACACAAACTAAACTTTTGACGATTGGACGGCCAACTTTAGCGACATTTATGTCCCATTTCGAATGCACTTGCATTAAATGCATTTAGTTAATAATGCTCGCCTACAATCTTTATTCATCTAAGCCAGATATTATTAAGATAAGCTCTCTGTGAGCGCCCATTTAAGTTAATGCTACATAAAGTAATCAACGATATTGATGCGCTAAGAAAATTCTAGTGTATGCCATTCTTTGATTATAGAATCTTATTTAATGATTAAAATAACGGCATTTTACTGGTTTACAACTATAAATTAAAGCTTCATTTAATAAATTCGATAGCTGGTCTTTGATACTATTAAAAGTTTTGTAAATCATCAAAAACAAATAAAAAATTTTAATTTTACATTCTTCAAAAATCGAACGAATGCCTTTATATCGAAAATTTAAACTATTATTTATTTATTGCGATTAAATGGTTATAAAACTGGCAATTCTAAAAACAAATTGTCAATAATCTTAAAAGTGCCAAAATCGATGATGATAAGCTAAGAGTTATTCTACGATTGTATCGATAATAAAAATCGATATACTGTCAACGATACTGTCGATTTGTTAACTTGTGATCGATAATGCCGATAATATAATCAATTTATTTTGTTAATATGAATTTTGTTTATTTACTGCAATTATCAAACAGGGACTTATCGATACTCTAGGAACTTTCTTAACATTATCTATTAAGTTTTAAATTATTAGGTTTATATTTCCGCTATCTAAGTACCCGGTTTGGGAGGTCGATGGGGTGGATCCTGCAAAGTCTCCGTCGTTTTCTTCTGCAAAGCCTTCTTGCTAGTATATTGGGGTGGGCAGAAAGACGGACTCTAAATAGTGCAGATGATTTCATAGAATTTGTAACCGATATTATTAATAATATAATTTATCTATAAAACTGTCGATAATATAAAAATGCAAAGGAAAGTATTACAGCACGACTTATGTATATATGCCCAGACTGAGTTATCAATAATGATACCTATTTTTTTTTGCTAAAGCGAGTACTTAACGTTTGCCTATTTTCCTTGTCAAACACTTAATCATTCACTCAGTCATTTAGTGTTTCAGTCTTTCACTTATCGTTAGCCGTGTATTGGTGAATGCATTTTTGCTTTCTTGGCTTTTTGACTGGGTTTGGGCTTTTGCTTTTGCTTTCAATCGAAACCGTCAACTGTCGACGACACCTAAGAGGTTTCCCCGCTCTGCTTAGGTATATTTCAAGTGCTTTGACCCACCCACCAGACCAGCACAGAGCAGCGCAGTCCAGCACAGCCCAGCACAAACCACCAGTCCACATGTGGCAAATGCACAAAAAAAGTGTATAGAGAGTGGGTCCCAATGCGATTGCCTCATGGGCACTTCCGTCAACAAAAGCGGGGCAATAACTATGACCAAACCATAAGACGATGGCCACACTTGACTGCCACAGAAAGCGAGAGATTGCAGCAAGAAGCAACGAAAGAGGTGGCCAATGGCATAGAGCACAATGCGGTTCCAGAGTGGGTTACCAAGCACCGTTCTATGGAAAAACGTTTAAACTACACATGTATTCGTATTTGTTATGGCTCTTCTTGTATGCGCTTTTCCAGCTAATTTTATAGTTTATTACACTGAAGACTTGGATCGTTAGCTACCTCATAAAGGATTTACTAGCAAGCAAACTAATGATTTAAGCCTACCTAATAGTTGATACATAAATTACCAGAGAAGTGATTTTTATGACGTCGAAGAGCAGCTTTTATAACTTGAAATATTTTTAACTATGTGGAAATACAATGCATCTTTGCACTTCTCTATTTTTTTTTAGCTATATATAAAAATGTATTTATATTTATTGGCTTGCAGTAATTACATTATTGATTCAATTAAATCTATAGATTCTAAAAACGAACTAAGAAAACGCCTAACTTCCTTCCTTCCAAACTTTTTCATTATAACTTAATATAATTTGCTTATAACAACATTTTTTTGCACCAATTTATTTTATCTGGAGGAATTTCTGGAAACTTTAGACCTTTTAGATGCTTTTAAAATATTCTTGAATATTTAGATTAATTTTAAAAATCATGTGGGATTTCGCTGTTTTTCTTAATTTTCCATACATTAAAAATGTTGTACAAAAAGGTTCTTTTGTAAACATTGCCTTTTGCAAATATTGCAAAATATCCAGAGAAACTGAAAACTGGAAGGTCGTTTCTTAAATTAATGCATTGTAATCTACCCAAATAAAAGTTTCATTATTAAATCTTAAATATCAAGACTTGCATTTTGCATTTTCTCAACCCATATAAGTCCTGTCCAATAATTTATGGAAAGAGGCTCTCATTGCTGGCCATCAAGTTGAATATTAAATGCAATTAAAGGCAGCTCAAGGCGGCTGCGTTGTCAGCTTAATTTCAGAAAGTAAGTAAGTAAGTAAATACTTAATAGGCTTTAAAAAAGTCAGACCCATAGCAGCCCACACAACAACACCAAACACCAATCGAATCAACCAAACGACTGTAAAATAAAAAAATAAGCAACTTCAGACTCTGACTCTTGACTAGTGACATTTGCATTTGACTCGGGACCAGTTAAGCTTGTAGTGCAATTGAAACAATTTATGCTAATTACGCCACTTATTGAATTATTATTATTATTACAATTAATTACAGTCCATAACATCGCCCGATCCAACATCGTATGTGGCAAAGGCGCGTGTTACGCGTCCCACGCCCCCGCCACCATCCAAGAATCCCATGCAATTTGTGCAGATCAAGCCATGCAATTTATATCAGACGGCCCAGCAGCAGCTCAAAAAGGCCGAGGAGGTCAAAAAGCTCAAGGAGGTGAAGAAAGAGGAGCCCGAGGAATGGCAAAATGTAAGTACTACAAATTCAAAGCCTGTAAAGTAAATTGTATAAGATTTTGAGATCATAAAATATAGAAAATAATTATGTCAAATTTCTTAAAAGCTTCTTTTGCAAGCACAGTTTCTTCTCTTTTATATTTAATATAATTCGAAATCTTTGAACTTGCATATTTGCGGTAAAAGAATCTCAGGTCTTCATAATAATCAGTAATATTGGTTGGCATTCAAAGATATCGACTTTTAAACTTGAAAAGTGGGTTAGGTACGTAATTGTACCTTAGATGCTTTTGGATGGAAATCGTTTGGCTAGACACTTACGAGTATCCCAACTTTGTTAAGCCGAGCTATGTAGTATATAATTTTTCTCAAGGGATCAATATTTAGGTATAATTTACTTATCAATACTGAATCTAATGCTATATATATTTTACATCAAATATCTTTAAATATATATAAATAAAGATTCAAACGTTGTACCCACAAATTTTGGCTACATAACCTCTCGTAAATTTAGCATAGAAGTTAATCAAAAAAGCTATTCTCTATTAGGCTTTATTAGGGATTACGCTTGTTGAGTAAACATGAATCTTACACGATCTGGCAAAAGTTATCTATCTAACGCAAGAGAAATTCAATATGCTTGAAGTTTTTAAACAAAATCGTGACAAATTTCTAAATCGCTAGTTGACTACTTTTTTGCGTTATGTTTTTTGTCGTATGTGTCTAAAGATAAACGACGCACAGCGCTTGGGCAGGGCACTTGGCTCGTTATATCTGTGGTCATATATCTGTGGTACTAACTAGCATTGGCTCTAGCTGTGGCTCTGGCTCTGGCTCTGGTAATATGTATTTGTGACTGGAGCGGGCCTGCTCCAGTTTCCAATGCACGTCGCTGGAGCGGACAAATGATATTGCATAATCAGCTGTTACTTGTTTTCTATCTTGTTTACTTTCTGGTGCGCTTATAGGTATTTTTTACAATTTTTGTTTACACAATTTGCGTTACATGCAAATTTGTATGCCATAACCTCAAACGAAATAACGCGCCCTTTGACGTAACTGTACCTCATTACCTAATCAGCCGCAGTGTGCAGCATTGCATTTGAAACGATTGCAAACATGAAATATCTTTGTCATTTACAATTTGGCCAACGTCTCTATCGATTTGTCACTTGCGCCAACTAATTTTCTTGTTCCCATACATAACTTTTGTTTTATATATGCGAAAATCTATTAAAATTCGCATAGCGTACGGGTCGAACTGGGTCTGGGCCTGGGACTGACGCCAAATGATGGGAAAGGAAGTTGAAAAATGCCGTTTTAATGGCCATTTGGTGAGCGACAAAACGCGCAGATTGTTTTCAACGTGATTTCTGCAGGAAACTTTGCAATCTCTCAAAAGTTTTTATAAAGCAAAAAAGAAATAAAATATATAGTTTTTGACCCGCAACTTTAACGAGCAAACTTATGAATTCTGTAAAGTCTGACTGCTGAAATTGTAGCAAAAGCTGAGATATTCAAGAGTTTTAAAAACTTACTTTAAAGTAGAGCTTTAAATTGATTAGCTTTTAAGCAAGACGGCTAGATAGTCGCTGATTATTGTCTGCATAATAAGTTAGAGCATTCAACGGAAATATAGTATATAGGAAATGCTGACCTTATTAAAGAAGATAAAATTTAATCAATAAAATGCCAGAGCATGGCAAAACTAACCAAAAGTCAGTTTTATTAATCAGTTTATTGTTGAGAATTTTGCTATGCCAAGATAAATTGCCATTCAGTAAATTTATTTTTTTCTCCTAATAAAATTATTGCATAGAATATGCATTAAAAGTTAATAACATTTTTTATATCTTGCGCCGCATTACTGAAAGTTCATCTTCGTTGTCTCAGACAATAATAAGAAAAGTAAAATGACTAAAAAAAAATCATTTTCACGCCGCAACACTTTTCACCTTTGTCACGTCTCCCTGGGCCGGGCCAAGTAAGCCAAGCAAAACTTTTTAATTGCCAGAGCGTAGAGAGTGTCGAGTGCGTGTATATCTTACCTTATAAGTACCATACATATATAGTATAGTATAGTACAATGTGCCTTTTTTATTGTATGCTAACTTTCGCTACTTTTTTACAAATCAAATAAAAAGAACCTTGACAATTGGAAATCATCACGGCGAAAACGTGTCGAACATATCATCGATCGTGTGGTGGAAACGAAAAAGCTCGAACTGGAGGAGCATGATCGCACGCGACGAAAATCGAAAACATTTACCGAAATGATGGAGGAGCGGTAAGTAGTACAGCAGCAACAATCCGCGCCCGGAACAACCCATAACTATATCTTTCAATTGACAATAATTCTCTTCAGAGCCGAACGCGGAGGTTCACGCGGACGCGTCAAGTTGGCGTCCCTGGCCGTTTACAACGAGGACGAAGCAAATGATTTGAGCGACCTGGGCATCGGCACCAGCAGCGCCAGCGGCAAAAGCAGCTTATCAGAGGATTATGATAACAACAGCGTTATGGTGAGTACTACTAACAATTCCATGGCACTTGAGCCCCATAAGCCCAAAAAATATTTAATCACAGCCAGCTCATATTTATTAAAATATTTGTTGATTTATTATCATAATATGGATAAGCAAATAATTTAGTCGTTGGTATAAAACTATTTGAGACCTCTTTAATATATAGAGAAAAGGCTTTGTATTTTGGGTGGATCCTTTTATCTGTTGTATACTTCAAATATTATTCAAAAATATAGACAGAAAGTTATATTTCTGTGATTGTTAAATTTTTGGGACCAAGTTTTATTTGTTTTATTTAAAGATGATTTTAATCCAATATTTGAAATGCAGTAACAATTTTTATATAAAGTTGCAGGTCAAGGTCTTATTGTAAAGTAGAAGTGTCGCAATTACAAATAGCAAATTAAAAATATAATATACATTCTTCGTTGTCTAAGACAATAATAAGAAAAGTAAATTATTAAAATTGAAATATTTATTTTTATGTTCTTATTTTTTTTTAAACTAAAATTTACGCAAAAATGAGAGGTATATGTTTTTATCAAGAATTAAAAAAAAAGATCAGTTCCTCGCAAATAAGTATTTTCCTACATAATGAAAACATGTACAAAAATGACCTCATTATGATGTTTTCATTATCTATGTATTAAATGTATTTATAATTTTCTTTCGGCGGCTTTGTTTCATATTTTGCTTTGTTGTCGTCAAAACGTTTATAAACAATTGCAACAAATGAGCAATTAAACCGAGTTTATAAACAATTTGCCGCTGGGACTTTCAATTGAGGCTCAGTTTGAGCCACTGATGTTGGAAAGTGTTGCCAGCGACGCGAGCTAATAAACACAAATTGTTTATTAATCAAATGCGTTCACAATCACAATCGCACAATAAAAAATAATAAACAACAAACAACACAAGAAAAAATAAATAAAAGAAATAAACAAAACAACATTTCACATTGCCATCAGATTGAGCAATTAGAAGCGCTTGTCGCCATCGCATATACAAAATTACAATCATATAGTTTATATGGGATTTCAGTATTTATGTCGGTTCATAGCATCTGGGTGATGGGTATGTTAAGGTTAAGCAGGCAATATCACAAGCAACGGGGGCAGGAGTTCAGAAATAAAAAGAGAAAGTGTCTGACTTGATCGAGTCTAAAAATAAAATAGACAATGGGAAAAAGAAAATAATAAAGAATCTGCTAAAAATAAGTTAAAGAATAATAATTAAATAATTGAAGAATGAAAGAAAATTGTTGTAAAGAATTTGGAAAGTAATAAATACAAAATATATTAAAGACGCGAAGAAGTTTAAATGGATATGAAAGTAATAAATGAAAGTGAAAATTAATTTTAACTAATTGATTGGTATAGAAAATTAAAAAAAAAGAAAATGTTAGCCATATAAATTGAAAGGTAATGTTAGGCTTTAAATACTTACTAAATAGGACTTCTATTTGTACTTTGTAGACGGTATTATACTCATAGAAGGAGAAATATAAATCTCTTGAGTTAAAATACTTCTATACCTTCTGTCTACAAAATGATTATCGGCATTCCAAAAAAGTCTATGCTTGATAAAAATCATATAGAGTCTAGGAAAAATAAATAAATATATTATTTGTATTTGTTCTAAGCCCATTATTTAATCCACTCTCAACTATATTCTTTACAGAGTGACAATGCCGATTTGGACAAAGCCATTGGCGCCGCAGGTGCTGGCAGCATTGAACAGCAACAGAATCACATTAACAGGAACAGGATTGGCAATGGCAACGCCTCCAGGCAGATGGCGAGCACCTCGAATGCCAGCAAATTGCAGGCAGTCGGCGAAACAACAGCAGCAGCGGCAGCAGCAGCCACACGGGAGTACATCTCGTCGCCTGGCTATGACACCTCGTCGAGCACAGCGCCCGCCAGCTCACCGGATCCCTGCGAGTACACCTACGAGGGCGCCATACAGGACTACAAGCAGCGGGTGCAGCGTGCAAGCAGCAATGGCAAAATCTGCAATAACAATGCAGCTGGAAATAGCGAAACCATTGCGTATCCGACACGACGTGGCAGCAAGATTGAGGATCGTTTGAGCGGCTTCGAGGTCACCTCGCCCAGCGACACACAGGAGGGTGTCGAGAAGCAAAAGGTGGATGTGCCCAAAGTGGACATATCGAAACGCAAAGAGATCTTCGAGCAGCGCGACACTGAGCCAAAGCCAATGCTGTCCAATGGTGCAGCACCCAAACTGGTGCTGCGCGAGCGTCTCACCAACGGCAATGGAGCCGCGGCACCAACACTGGCGCCCGCAGCCAAACAGGAGGTGAAGCGCCTGTCGGGCGACATATGCAGCATACGCGATCGCATGCAGAGCCTGGAGCAGCAGCGCAATGCATTCAACTCCAGCAAGAGCGTGGATGTGCCAGTGCCGCCGCTGAAGCAGCGCCTGAATAGCCTGCAGCATGCCGTTACCAAAGAGGAGGAACTGCAGCAGAAGAAGCCCCCGCTGGTGGCTCTCATCGATGCCAGGCAGCTGGAAATTATGCGCGGCGAAGAGCAGCGCATGCGTCAGCAGCAACAGCAGCAGCAGCAGCAGAAGGAACAGCAGGAGCAGCAAAAGGTGACAGCGCCGCCAGCGCTGATTGTGGAAGAGGCGCCGTTGGCAGCGCACGATGACAGCGGCATACAGGCGGACAACAATGAGGAGCTGCTCAAGGAGCAGCAGCAGCAGCAGCAACAATTAAACGAGGCCATTGCCGCGCTGGCGCTTGAGGAGCGTCAGCTGGAGGAGGCCGCCAATGCGGTCAATCAAATTGAAGCCGAATTTGATGAGCTTACCGATCTGCATCCATCCGCTCTGCCAGCTGCCCAACAACATGCACCAAAAGCAGCAGCAGCAGGAGCAGCTAAAGCAGCAACACCAGCACCAACAGCAACATCTGCAACAACAGCAACCACTCAGCCAGCGCCGGCAGCGACACGGGACATGGAATTTAGTGTAAGTTCTACTAACAATTTTATCGAATCCGCTATGTTAAGTCCACGTAGTCTGAGTGATGATTATGATAATGTTAAAGATAATGTTGTTGTTGTAGTAGCTTCAGCTTCCAATGCGGTGTCGGTACAACCCAAAAATCAGAATACCCAATATCCCAATCCCAATCCCAATCCAGTTTCCAATTCCTATGCTCCCAACTCAAGTAATTGTAACTTGCGTAGAAAGCCCTCCAATGAAATGGTTCATGCGCGCAATTTGTTGAAAATGTTCAAGGAAACCTTTCAGAATGACGATGAACTGAACGAGGCCGCCGAGCAGGAGCCACTGTTAGCTCAGTCGCCGCCTGGTCAGTTTAGCCAGACCTTTGACTTTACCAAGACACCGAACCCAAAAACAACACCAGCACCAGCACCAGCTCCCGCACCCGCACAGATTCCTCTTCAGCAAACCGAATCAAGCGCGCGACACTTGCCAAGTGCTACACCAACACCAGATCCAACTCCAATTCCCTTAGCCACAGTCCAACAACAGCAACAGCAGCAACCACAACAACAACCCACACAAATACCACGCCCACTGGGCAAACCGCCCATGTCACCCAAGGCGGTGCGTATAAAGCCCGCATCCACGCCGCAACAGTTCAGCATCAATGGACGGGTCGAGATTTTCAATTCACGGCAACTGGAGAAACCGCCAACGCCACCGCCAAGACGCGCCTTTAAAGCAGAGCCTGCAGCAGAGCCCCTGAGCCCCACCGCTGGGCATGAGCATGTGCATGTGCCGGAGGTGGTAATGTGTGCGCCACCCGTTACCATTGTCTCGGCCGAGGAGCTGCCGAAGCCCAATACGGTCAAGGCCTTGTCCAGTTGCTTTGGACAAGCCGCAGCGAAGCCGTTATCCCTGGGTAGTCCAATTGGCGGTCGTAAATCGGGCGTCGTTACCAAGTCACCAGCTGGAACGCCCAACTGCACATCTCCAACTCCAACACCAGGCATAAGTGTGAGTTTCGATGCGACTCCTTTGCCCAAGGCGCTGCCACGCAGTCGCATACCACAGATAACGCCACCAGCTTCACCCAAGCACAGTCGTAGACCTACGCCCACAGTTGATGTTGTGGATCATGCGCTCATTGATCGCAGCTCAGGGGATTATGCGCCCATCGTGGGCCAGACGCAAGCTGTGGTTCACACGCCGCCAGCAGCCAAGGTGGGTGTGAAGCCACCAACAAAACCGCTCAGCCTAGATCCACTGGCGCCCAATGATTCGCTGCAGGTGCACGTGACATCGCCCTCCGAAATGCCCGCACTACGCGTCTGCACACCCAACGAGTCCAGCCTTTTCAAGCTGGCCGGCTCGGCGCCCACATCGCCGAGCTCGACGGGCACACCTGCCTTGGAGCTGGCATTGTGCCAGCAGTTTCTGGAGCGTGAGGCCAGCAAGCAGCAGTTCGAGCTGGCTCCTGAGGATCGGCAACGTCTGGAGCTGCAGGCCGTTGAGGAGGTGCTCTGTGATAAAATAGATGTGGCCAAGATGCCCAAGTTGCCCAGCACCGGGTGTCAGACAATAAGCGAGCAGCAGCTGGAGAGCTGCGATGGTATCATCAAGGAAGAGGCGCCGGATCTAGCAGGCGCGCCCAAAGAGGAGGATGTGGCACTCTGCGTTGGTTTACTCGATTGCCTGGCGCCCGCCCAGGAGCCCAGCTGTGAAAGCATCGATGTGCGGCAAAGGCCAGTGCCGGCTACAGGCTACCAGGACATAAGCGATGCGGATGTGAAGCGCTGCGACGGTTGGCATGGTACCAAGGAGCTGAGAAACAGCAACGGCAGCAAACCGAATTCACCCATTAGCACTGCGCGTGCAGCACACTCCAAGGCGTTGATAGACACCTGCGAGCAGATCATTGCCGAGGAGCGTTTGGCCAGCAGCCAGATGATGAAATCATCGCTGCCCGAGGTGAGTGCGGCGAGTGGTACAAGCTCCACGCCGGGCACACCATCCGTGAGTCGCAAATCTAAGATACCCATACCCAAACCATGTTGCATATCGGCTTCGAACACGGACTCCATAGGACGCGCAGGCTACCTGCCCACGACGGCGCCGGCGACTACCGAGCAGCCGCTCATAGCACGCACTCTGTTGGTGGAGACGGAGATGAATGTCAAGCAGATGACGCCGCCCAGCTCACCCAAGGCAGCAAAGGATGCCCACGAGAAGGAGAAGGGCAAGGACAAAAAGAATAAGACTAATATATTTGATTTTCTGCGTCGCAATTTCGGACATCATGAGGAGCCGGCGGCGCCCCAACCACATCCCACACTCAATGAAACTCTCGAGCCCAAAGTGGTGCTCACAAGCACACGCAGCGGCGTCGATGTGGTAAGTGCGGATGACTTTATAAAAGTGGACAATTCGAAATTCTACTTGGCCAACGATGAGGTCCCACCCTTACCTCCTCCGTTGCCCAAAACACCAGCACCGGTGAACATTGAAATACGAAAAACCATTACAACAGACCAGATTCTCGAGGAGCACAACACGGAGCAGGCGTTGAGCCAGGAGATAAGCGACCTGCTCGATGATGAGCTAAACAAACTGGAGGCAGCGTCAGCGGCGGTTGGTGCTGGTCACTGAAATAGCACGACAATTCAATAGGTTTCATTTAGGAAGCACTTGGGTAATATTTATAAGTCAGATCAAGTGACTTTAAGCAATTCTCAACCTAATGAACTTGTCCGATAGCTCTCTTCTAAAATATACTCTGCATAGATGATCAAAAATATACCTCTGACATTTTTTCTGATGAAATTATATTTGAAAACATGGCAAGGCAAATAAAATACTCGTAGAACTTCAAGTTTTTTCCTAACTTGTCCGAAATATATCCTGATTTAATATAACCTCATCTAATCGAAATGAAAACTCGAATTTATTGATGAATATAATTTCAAAATATGATATCACTTTATTTTTTATTTTCTTATTATATATTTCTGTTGTGGGGCTCAGGCTACGTAAGCTACAGTTTCTTTATTATTTCTTTGTTCTTATTACTAAAACCAATTTTTATGTATAAACAACGAAATTTAATTTTTATGTAAAGAAAAATGTGAAACATGTGTTTTATGGTTATATATTTTATATACTTAGCGTGCTGAAAAAACTTCTAATACACAAAAAAATATCACAAAAAGCATACCAAAATAATAATAAAAAAAATATAATAATAATAATGACAATCATAATGTTGTGCTATTTTATGAATAATCTCGAAGCAACTGAATAATTTGCACTATGATCGAAAGCTGCAACGGATAAAATTCAAATATTCAATACCACTGCTTGCAATATTCTCATAACCAAACTGCATCGTCAAGCAGTGCCATTGTGTTTTGATGTGGCAAGCAGTCTATTTGCTGCCCTGGACTTCAAACTGCTTTAATTTGTTCACAATTTCCCTAGAAGGGAATTTTTGAATAACAAGGTTTAAAATGCCCTTTGATTTAAATTCAATAAATTAATAAATATTTAATTAGCTGAATACACAAAAAAAAAAAGAGTTTTAAATGCAACGAGAAAGGAAGACTTTCTCTGGTATTAACATATTTCTAATGCGCCCTGGTCCTTAAAGTGTTCTGTCTTATCCCATCCAGATGATTTAGCGTAAGTAAGTCCCCAAGGGTTAAAGGTTTAACATTTAAGGCTTTTGTAAATGTTTTCTATATCTATATATATTGTGCATTACATATCTATCAAACTATCGTATTATAAACATAATCTGTATGCATTTCTCTTACATGACTTGCGCTCGTATTGTTGGCTAAAATGTATAATGTATCAAATTATCAAATATACTTATGATATGTATATTCTATATATATCTATATATATATATGCTACAGTTACATAGTTTACATGCTTACTGCCAGCAAAAGTTGTTGCAAGTTTACAATTTTCGAGGTAAGCGGTTGTGTCTCTTTCATCCACATCTCTCGCTCTCTCTCTCTCCCTCTCTTTTACTCTCTCATATGTATTTACCTTTGTCTCATTTATTGGTTCTTTGCTTTTGTGTTCTGTTCTGTTCTGTTTTTGTGTTTAGCTCTTAAGTTTTCCATGCGTGTTCCAGCGATGTATACATAAGTATATCTATTTAAAATGCCAAAAGTCACAAGTGTCACGACCTCCGCCCTCCCGCCCAGACGACCCTAGTGGGGTTTCAGTTTAACACTGCATACAGCGGGGCGCTACAAGACCGTAATCCCCATATCGTTCCATATTTTGCTCGATTCTCTCAGTATTTGTTTTTTGCACTTTTTTTATTTCTGCAATTTTGCTTTATCTGTAAATGAGCTTTGTTAATGCGACCCTTACAACAGTTGCGTTTAGTCGCCTTTGGGCTTTCAACTGTTTTGGTTCGATTCCGGGCAACTATTTACCCACATACCGGGCACGGGTACAATATCTGCCCCATTCGCAGTTTATCTTTATAGAGTCCGACACGTACAAACAGACATATCTAAAAATAGCCAGATACCGCGTCGGGGATGCACTACTTTTAGTACTTAGGACAATCAATAGCTCCATCTGTCGATAAACTAAAGTGCGCCAGTCTAGCAAATTATTTTGTGATCGATACATAATGGTAACAACCAAAATCAAAATATATAATATAAAATTGTAACGATTTGTAGTGTCAACATGGTGTGATTCAAAAAGATTCCATAAAGCGAAATCTCTTGAGTATTGTCCAAGTTAACATATATAACAAACATAAATATATATAATGATTGATCAATGGAATTCTACAAAGATATTGCTAGAAAGCAAAATCGCTTGGGTCTTGTATATATAAAATATTGTCTACCAAACTAATGCTAATGCTCGAAACTTTTAACCTTGGGTTGCTCTTAATTCTCTTAATTCTTAATATTTAAATTCGATTTGCTCATAAAGGAACTAGAATTCTTTAATTTGTTTAATTGTAGAAAACAATTCAAGAATACATTCAGAAACTCGGTACACTAGCTTAGAAAATGTTTTCAGATTAATATTAAATGTTACACAGATTAAGAAGGGGCTTTAACCTATTTCTTTTCTAAATTTTATTTCATATATAAAAATAAGCTAGAAAAACAATTTGTCATAAGACCTTGTTATCAACTTATCTTGCATGTTTGCTTTACAAGTTCAGATTGTTGTATAGCTTGAATCATTTGCTTCATAACTAAAAAAGAAACAAAGATAAATTTTTTAAAGACGAAGCTTCTACATGAGACTTATAATTAAAGGTTGCCATGTAACAAATTTAATCCTGTGCTTTTCAATCCTTTGGTAAGCGTTAAAAATAGGTTATCACTGCTACTGAGCTTATCTACACTATTTAGACTTAGTCCACTCTTCTGAGTGTTCAGCTAGTGTCGTAGTTAGGAAATAATTCAAGTATAATTTAGCTCAGATAATAGCTTATCAAGCCGTAAAATCGTGAAGTGCTTCCCCATCGAATTAGCTATCAGTTTAAAAATCGCATAGAGTATCAGAGCGTCGATCAAGTCGAATCGCTAAATAGCAGCAAATATTTATTAGCTTGGCTTGTTTGACTGCTGTAAATAATGGAACCCTTTGACTGAATTTGTTTTCATTTATAATTTTCTTATCGATTTTGTGCAATTTTGTTCGCTGTTTTTTTAATGATTATTATTTATTTATTATTATTATTATTATTTTTTGCTAGTGCAGCATTTTTAGCAAACTAACTTAATTAAAATATGTGCGATGATGGCGCACTTTTCTCTCTCTCTTTCGCACGCTTGCTGCTTTGCTGCTTTGCTCGCTAACTCCACAGATCAACGAAGCTCTTGATTTGGCGCTGGAAGCTATTGACAGGGAGGTCAGCAGCGCGCAGGACGAGATGGAGCAGGAGCTAGAGGAAGGGACGAAGGCGGAGCAACAAAATATTGAAAACGATGATGATGAGTTGAAGGGGCCGAAGGAGATGGAACTAGAAACTATAAAGCCAAGTTCGGGAGAGAAGGAGTCAACAACAAATGTCGCAATGCCAAATAAAACGGATGAACAGAAAACGGAAGAGGAGCAGGAAAAACAGGATATTATGGAACAACTGGCAATCGATAGAACGGAGCCCATCTATGAGAACATCAGCTCGACTATATCTATGCAACAAGTAGATAATGAACAGACAGCAATCACGATGTTGATTCGACGGAGCCACAGAAGAAGCATTCCAAATAAAAGCAACAATAACAATAACAATAATAATAACGAGCATAATCAAACTAACAATAATAGCAACTGCAACAACAACAATCAAATCGACACAACAACAACAACAACTACAATGACAACAGCGACAACAGCCGCCGACTTGGAGCCGTATTACCAGGTGCCCAAGGCAACGGAACCCTATTACGATGCACCTAAACATCTGCGTCCGATACCCGTCTACGAGAACATTGACATCTTCTACACGGGCCTGGAACTGGGCTCCAGTGTCACGAGCCTGGCGTCCGCACTGGAACCGCCCAAGGAGAAGCCGCCGCCGCCACCCACAGAGCCACCCACAGAAGATGCCAACCCCGATGACGATGAGCTGGACGCCGGCACCTGGTCGTCGGACAACACATACGAGACCATTTCTAGCAGCACGCGCCGTCAGCTAGGTCAGAGTCCGAGTCAGGCAGGTCAGGGCACGCCCATGGCACAACAACCCTTATCGCCGCCCATCAAGCGCATGAACTCGACGAAGCGCATCAAGAAGGAGCTGCGCAACAAGCGCTCCAGTTTCCTGGGCATCGAGACAGATGCCGATCTCGATGATATGGACAGCTATTTGGAGCTGACGGTAGCCCCGCCGCCGGACATGGCCCAGCTGCTGCAGGAGGAACGACGCCTCGAGAAGCAGCTGTACATCAAGGCGGGTCTCTGTGACAGCTCGGATACAGGTGAGTGGGATGTGGGCTGCGGCGTGTGGGGCTAGACAGGGCAACAGAAACCCAATAGAGCTGAAAAACGAGCAAATTACTGACGGGCTGCTAAAGCGGGAAGGGAAGCTCTGGAAATGGTCAGGTTAAGTATAAATAATCCGTTTAGTGCGTACGGTGAGACAGAGAGAACACGGGGACTATGGTGAACGATTATCAGGTAACAAGGGCCTGTATTTAGGAAAGTCTATGTGCATAGACCTGACAGTTCTTGTAGAAATTCCAGATGAAACTGCGAAGAGTTGAGTAAGCGAAAATTGAAGCAAAGTTTTTATATTTATCCTCAAATACAATAAACAGTTCACTTTTAAGAAAATAATTGCAATGTTTATATATGAAAAAGTACGTACACTGAAATTGATTAAAATCATTCAAAGAATTCCGAACTAAAAAGTTAAGCAAATATTTCGATAGTAACAATCGATTGCAAATATTAATATATATATAATATTATTTTCATGTTACATGATTAAGTGATCGAAAGCTTCCAATTGAGACTAGAAAATGCTTTCTTGATTAAAATCGGTGTTTATTGTCCGATCTTTATGTATTAGTGGCAAACAAAAGTTTGGGCTCATTAATTGTACCTCCACAAATTATTATCTGCGTATACCATAGGGAAACTACTTACAAGTTTAGTCCATCTAACTCTTTTAATCTCTGAAACAAACAAAACAATATTTCAAAATACTCGCAAGGAAAGACTTTAAAATAGATCTATGACCTGTCCACTGATTGCCACTTCATCCTTTGCCTTTGCCCTTGCTCTCACTTAACAGGTGAAAGCCGCGACTCAGGTGTCTCAGAGAATCATTCGCGCCAGAGCAGCGAGCACTATACGAACTCCTCGGAGGAGAACGACACCCCATCAGAGGCAACGCCACCGCCAATGCCGCCGCCGCCGACGCAGCAGGCGCTGGGCTCGTCGCAGCTCGGTGAGATCATCTACCAGAACGAGACGCTGCTGGCTGCGCAGACGCCGCTGCTGCAGACGGTGAAGGGCAACTCGGCGGAATCGTGGACGGAATCTGCAACGGCGGCAGCGGCCGCCACCCAATCGCTGAGCGAGGCAACCGCCACGGCCAATGCAAAGATGCTGTCCATTGAGGAGAAGATACGGGAACAGGGCGAAGTGCTGCGCGTGGAGCGGGAGCTGCTGCAGTTTTCGGTAGGTGGAAGCTTTTATCTGGCAAGGAATTAGAATTGAATGTTTTTTACTCGTTGATCATTTCAGCAGGAGGAGCTGAAGCGACAGCGCGAGAATCTGCTGCTGCGCGAGAATTTGGCGCGCCGCGAGCTGCAACATGGCGCCAAGATGCTCTTGTCCAACAACCGACGCTCACTTCAGGATCTGCACCATGGCCTGGGCATTGGCAATGGCATGCTGAGCGCCTTTCAGCCGCCACAGCCGCAGCTGCCGCCAGCGCCGGCGCAGCAGATTTATGCGAACGTGCCACAGCAGCAGCTGCAGCAGCAGCAGCAGCAACAGCAGCGGGCAGTGCCGCCGCCTGCAGCCCTTGCACATTATCACTACCAGCAGATGGACACCGACTATCGCAAGTCCATGTCGGATCTGAATGAATTCTCCAAGCGTCTCATGCTGCCCCCGACGCCGCCCACAAAACCCTTGCGCGCCATGCACCTGACTACCAATGGCCACGGCCTGGAGCCGGACTATGCGATCAGCGCGCGCCAGCGCAGCGGTTACGGCGGCTCTCTTGTCAAGATTGCGGGCACGCCGCTGCCACCAGCAGCAGCAGCAGCAGCTGCAGTATCGGCAACAGCTGCGCCTGCCCCGCGTCACACGGCAAATCTGGCGGCCGCCTATCATCACCAGTCGGCGCAGAATCTGAGCAACATGTCGCGCAACACGCTGCTGGCACTAAGTGCCACGCCCAAGCCCAAGTACACCGATGGCTGGGTGCAGGTGCAGCAGCAACAGCAGCAGCACCATCTGGCCAACGATGCCGCCTGGCTGCAGAAACGCAAGTCCATGCCGGACTACAATGGGGCACTCTATAACAACGGCCATACCAATCACTGGCTGCTGCAGGAGGCCGAGCATCGCCGCCTGCTCGAACAACAGCAGCAGCAGCAGCATCAGCTGAACAGGCGCTCCATGCCCGCGCCTACATCGAATGGCAAGCCGCTGCCCGATTCCATCATACAAACGCTCACCGAGCGGGTCCAGAGCAAAGGCATTGGCGAACGCAAGCGGTGGGTAGAGTGCCTGACTGGCTCCAGATACTGTAGATTCCTTTTCTATGACTTTTATCGTCAATACGCTTTTTACTAGTACTATATTTGCTTTCTATGTATCAGAAACATATTATTTTATTTTGTATCTATCTACACTTCCTTGAACTCAAGTCTTTAATCTGAATCCCTTATTTTCTTCACAGCTTCGAGGGCAATGGCACCTACAGTCAGTTGAATAACAATGGGCTTGGCCTGAAACCGCTTACCAACCACAACAGCAACAACAACATCATTAACAACAACAACAACAGCAGCAACAACAACAACAACAGCAGCAACAACAGCAGCAACAACGCTGCCAGCAGCAATCAGGAGAAGGTGCTCAGCGTTAGTGGCAAGAAGAAGTGTTCGCATTGCGGCGACGAATTAGGTAAACTTTGCTACTACGTTGGTTGTGAGTGTGGTTCTTCTTCTTCTATTTCAACTTATACTAGTATCCCAAACATCGTTGACTACATTCATAGGCTTTAGAACGCGATATCATCTGATAAATAAATACATCTTATATAAAGCTGCATCGTTCATTAGGAAGGGAACACATATCTAGACACCAATCTTTGCATCCATGCATACATATATATGCTACGCTTAGGCGATGGTAATCGTGATATCTCCATTACAATATTACAACAGCTGAAATCAATTATTATTGTATTCCAATTGCAATTTAAATTAAATATCTAAAAAACTCACCCAAAGAGTGGGATATGAGTGAATGGTATATAATTTAACTCGAAAGATATAAAATATATTTTACCGACTCAGGATTTATTTTGATATCATAAAGAAGAAGCTGGAAATTAATTCCAAAACTATAAAAATAATTGTATAATCCCAAAAAACCAAGTGAATTCGAATATCAAAGCTCCTAAATAATTACATTAAAGCTTCTTGCCATCTATCCATATAAGAAATATTTCCCAACTAGTTATTGTAATGAGCGTAAAATGTATTCCCAACTTTACTTTCTTCACTCTACTGTTGCTCTTGTTTCACACATTATTTTCTCTTGTTTTCTCTCTCTCTCTCTCTCTATCTCTTTATCTCTCCCTGCCTCTATCTGCTGCTCTCTGTTTGTGTCTTTTTGCCTACATGTCTCTCACAGATTTGGGCTGCACCCACGACAATTGTCGGCAGGTGCACAAAGCGCTCAAATACATTGTCTGGGTCTAAACAAGCCGCCAACTAAAAAAAGACTTATTTAAAGACTAAACTAATTTAAGATTGAAAATTTAACCTTAATATAGCTGCACTGCAAGGCTGCCAGTAAGGTACCTCTGACTTATAGATTGTCAGTTTTCTTTGTTTTTTTGGAGTTTAACTCTTGAGTCACCCTAATGCTGTGCCTATGTTTTTAATGCAGGTCGCGGAGCTGCCATGATAATTGAATCCTTGCTGCTGTTCTATCACATCAACTGCTTCAAGTGCTGCGTGTGCCACGTGCAACTCGGGGACGGACTGAATGGCACAGATGTCCGTGTACGGAACCACAAGCTCCACTGCCAGAACTGTTATTCCAGCGACGACGGCATCAAATTCAGCTGCGTCTAGGCTCGCTTGGGGGACCAAAGGAGGATGCCACACTTGTTGTCGTATTTTATTTGTTACAACTTGCGATTGTTGTTGTTGTACTAATATACATACATATATATATATATATATATATATATACATACACATGCATACAGTACATATAAAGTATATGTTAAATGTTGAAGCTTAAGCCTAAAGTCAATTTATATATATATGAATATGAAGTGTTTGTCAGCTAAATGTTTATCATCGAATGCGAATTATCGTTCAATTTTGCAATTTTGCATTATATTGATAGTGTTTTTTGATTCAGATTTTAACTTTTTATATATATTATATATGTATACATGCAAGCGATTACGATATGTGGTATATATACGCATACAAGCCAAGCTCTCTCGCTCTGATGTTTTTTGCCAAGTCAAAGTCAAATTCAAATATATAGATGCATATATTAAATGTGTGTTAAGATGAAAAAATGTCTATGAATATTGTTAAATTTCTGCTTCTTTTTTTGAATATTGTACATTTGCCTACATTTACATACGCATACATACATATATATATACATATATACGGATTTATGTTTCGTTTAGAAACAAGCAAGAAACATTTTAATTGTAAATTATTTAGAGCTCTTGCTGAATTGCCTATTCGTAGAAGAGTTTGAATCATTTAAACGATACAATTTTAATTAATTCACCAACCAATTTGTTAACAAACTTTGAAGACTTGCAGCAACACGCCCAGCTCCTAAAAACCTTCACGACGTACCCAATGTACCTAAAATCATATAGTGCATAAAAATACATACATACACACAAGCATACACTAACAAATATACATATCTGCATAAATGAAGCGATTTAAATTCTAATTGTCGTTATTATTTGTATAACATGAAGCATAAACAAATAATTGTATTTAATATATTTGTATTTTCTTATTCTTATTTATTGTAATTAAGCATAAGCGTCAAAATGCATTGAATGTTGTTCACATTTCTGAATGTTTTCAACATCATTCAATCTGAGTTTTATGCGCATTTCATTTGAATACAAATTTGAACATTAATGCGGTATGCGAAAAACTTTTTTTCTGTAAAAAGGCAGCTGGAATTTCGTTTAGTTTTAAATAAAATATATACATATTGCAACCATAACCAAAACGAAATCTTTCAATTCATCAGCGTGTGAATCTGAAAAGTCATTATTACACGCTAGATCTATAGCCTGGACAAATAGCATAAATCTGCTTGTGTAATCATCGAAATCTATAAAATGGAATCTACCATTTTCGATTTTAGAACCAGCCCCATTCTTGCCATTGCCCCCATTTGGCATTTTTGTCAAATTTGGTCAATATTTTTTTATTTTTTGAATGCCAATCGTTACCTGTTATTCGCTCAAACCCAAAACGGTATATCATTTCCAGAATCTAACTCTTATTATCTGAAACGTGTAAGTTCGAACTTTTTGAAAAACTTTCGAAGTATCATAGCTGCATATATATTTCTTACTCTCTTGCTGTCTGAGCATGCGAGCGTGTCTCGAACCCGAACAAAAACGAAGACGACTATGGACCAGCCGCATATGAAATGAGTGGCCCCAGCATTTTACACTAAATGTCCCGTCTATAGTTGGTTTGGTAAGTTGTTAAATCTACTCAGATCTTGTAAATATTAATCGTTTCGGACTCGCTACACTCCGTAGAGAAAACAGGATTCAGAAAAATTGTAACCAACCCAATTTAAGCATAAATTGTGATGTAACCCCTTGCAATGTTTGTTAAATTTTATTATTTTATTTGATAGCCAATCAATAGTCCTGATCTACACGAGTACGAAAAGATATGTCACTCAAAAATCAAACATTATAAATCCGAGAAATTTCAAATTTTGTAATAACTAAATTTCTTAGTACAAACAAGGAAGCGCCGATATTGACAAATTTTAAAAAATTTAACAAACATTCACAAGTCACCTTTTATCAATAATAAAACCAGGTTTCTCGGTGATCTGAGCACTTTATTACTTAGACGCATTAACGGGAAATGAAGAATACGTAGAATTTACTTTGCGCTTAAATCTGACTTAAAACCCCAAGGAGCCGCACCTCGACTAAGCCGTTGGCAGGAAAGTAAGCTTCTCGTTGAGCTGCAGCTGCGTCTTGATCAATTGTGAGAGCGTGATAACCATCAGCAGATCCCGAACATTGGCGTTGAACATTTGGGTGAACTGCTCGTGGGTCATGTGTGGCACTGAGTGGATGAGGTCGAGCAGCTGTCGTCCGACAGCGTTATCCGGTGTCACTTTGTGAGCAATAACATCGTCCACGTATTTCAGTATGAGTTCGAGCAGCGATTGCAGTTTCGTCGACGCTTCAGAGATCTGTGCTAGGTCCAGCATTGGCGGCACAGTCTTGGGCCGATGTGCTGGCGATACGCCCACCGTCTTTTGCAACAGCTTCAGGCCAAAGGTCTCGGGCTCGTAGCTGGTCAGCTCCACGGGAATGGGGGTAAACATGCAGCCGGTCTTGCCGCCGGGCACGCCCAGCTGAATGCACACATAGGCGCGCAGGCCCATGCGGCCGCCCTGCAGCGAAGTGTCCACAGTCAGATGGACCGGGTTGTTGCATTCGCGCGCATAGTACTCGTGTATGACGGAGCTGTGATTCGTCACCTCGTTGCCTGTTGCCCACCAGCCGACGACGCTCTCATTGGCGTTCACCTTGCGGTTCAGATCGTACATGTCCAGGGCATAGCTCAGCTCCGCCTCCACCTGGTCATCGTGCTCCTTATGCGGCACACAGAAACAATTGGTAACCTCGACAACTCCCTTGTCAACCGAGCCCAGCAGGGTGCCGATAACTCGATGTGAGTCGGCATTGCGACGTTCAAACGCGTCTACAACTTGAAACAGCACCACGGGATGCACGCGTACAGTTAGATTAAGCGCCGACATTGTTATTTATTTTAATTAAGAATGCAAAAATTTACAAATAATTTAGCAATCGCCACGCTGCGTGAAAAGGACCTAGGGATGGCAGAGCATTTGCGATTGTTTGTGGTGGGTGGCCGATATTTTTGAGGCTGTCCACTTGTGGTCAGTTTTGGGGCAACACTTTCATAAAGTGCTGCCAAGCTGTTGGTTAAACGATTTGGAACTGTTGTGAAACTGTTGAGTTGCTTATCGATTAAGCCTGCGCGACTTATCTAAATCGCTTATCGATCGATATCGAATTTAAATGTTTTGTAGTAAACACATTTTTTGGCTTACATAATTAAATCTCATGCACGAATATTTTCATTAGATTTGAATATTTACTAAAATTAAGTTTCTCGCTGTGATGTGTGATGGACTGTAATGAAGAGTCCCAAGAAAACATAGTCATACATATAAACAAAATTTATTAAATATTTTTCTTACATTATGCTCACTCAGCATAAATACGCTAGGGGTAGTAATGGTAAATCTACGTGAGATTAGCCCATAGAACGCGGGCATGATCGCTAATACATCTTTTAGAGTTTCTAAATACCGCTTTAGTTTACTACAAAGACACACACACAATCTAATATATTTTATGGAAACATAATATTTCTACTGCGGGTAGTCTCTACCACACTTCACACTTTTGCACAGGATTCATGGGGGAGCCTTCTGGACATTGGAAGTCCTTGGCAAAATCCTTCATATTGGCCAGCGAGCCCAGCACACGGAACTCTGAGGGCGAGTGCACGCCTGTCGTAATTCTCATCTTAAGGGATTCTGTAAGTAAAATATATGTTTTTTTAAGAATATTTAGTTAACATAATATTCTTCAACGTTTACCTTTACGATATTTGGCACACCAAGTCTGACCAGCCGAGATCCAGAACATTTGCTGAGGCGTATAGTTCAGACCAGGCAACTTGGGCTCCGGCCCATGCTTCTCTACCCAGCGTTGATAGGCGATATACGACTCCTTCACGCCACCATTATCGGCAATATTTTCGCCTTGAGTGTTGATGCCATTCAACTGTAGAGGTGGAAAAACGTGGCCAATTATAATATCAGTTTTACAGTGGAATACTTAAGACCCGACTTACATTCAAGCCAGTGGCGTTGTCCGTATAGTTTCCATACTGTTCAATAATACACTGTGCCTTCTTAAGATAGGCCTTCTGTGTGTCTGGCTGCCACCAGTCCCGCAAGTTGCCTTTCACGTCGAACTGACGACCTTGATCATCGAAGCCGTGTGTGATTTCATGTCCAATCACATAGCCAATAGCTCCGAAATTCATGTACTTGGGTCGCTGGGCGTTAAAGAAATGGCCCTGCAGTATGCCAGCCGGGAACTCTGCAAAAGATAGGATTAGTTTACGGTTCTAGGTGTAACTAGGAACTCTCTACTTACGTATGCTGTTCTCCAGGGAGGAGTAGAAGGCGTTTACAATAGCTGGCCGGGCATGACGTATCCAATCTGTTTTGTTGACCGGCAGACGCAACTTGTTAAATGAATAGTCTGTGCCAAAGATGTTCATGTTCAAAAACGACTCGAAATACTTTTCCGGATTGATGTCAAGTTTTTCATAGTATTTGGCCAGTTTCTCGTTGTCCAACATCTCGTCGGGATAGCCAATGTGCGTGGCCATGCTATGAAGCTTCTCCTTGGCCTCCTTCTTCGTCTTGTCGTCCATCCAGATGACTTCATTCAGTATATCGTCGAACACCATGCGTATGTCGTTGACCATTTCCAAGGCTTTCGACTTCGAGTCCTGGTTGAAATGCTTGCGAACGTAGAGCGAGCCCACGGATATGCCAAGGCTGATAGTTATATTTAATATGGATATTAGATTATGTTGATCGTTGTGAATTCATGCGATGTTGATGTGGTTTGGTTGTACCAGTTGTTGTTGTTGTTGTTGTAGTAGGAGTTGTTGTTGTTCAGTGCAATTTTTGATTGGTGAACAGTCGAGATTATACGTAAAAGCGGAAAATGATAATTTTTATGAGTTATTTACTTAAAACAAATAAATTGTGCTTACGTTCAGACTCTAACAAACAAGGGGACCCAGCGAACAAAATTAAAAATAAAACAACAAATTTTCATTTGAGCCGCAATAGATACAAGCTCTGCAGTTCTTCAGAATACCAATATTCGACTCGCTCCCTAAGCTAGTCTGTTGACAACTCAGCTATTTTTAGCTACACTTAGCCTTTTTCAGAGGTCGCAGGTGTCTACAATTTTGGCTACTTTAAAATTGATTACGCTATGTTTTAAATCTATTGCGTATCGATGATACGAGTTCAGGGTACATCACTTTAGCTTAGGGTATTTAAATTTGGGGTAAATTACAGCGTGTGTTGATTTCATCTGTGATGCAAAGTCTAAAGAGGAGCTTCAGGATTCTTGGATGGATATTGCAGACAACAAGCACGATGGGGTGTTAATACAAAAGCATCTGCAAGCGCAAAATGATGAAACCTAAAAGCGCACCTAGCCCCAGATGAAAGCTGAAGTTTTGGATGAATTTTCCCATCAAGCGCGTAAACCTTGCGCAGGTAGGTTTTGGCCTTTTTTCTGATGACCTGCTATTCAGCTATTTAAGCTTTATTTAAAAGTAGACTCAGTGGCATTCAAATCAATATAGGGTTGTAAGTGCATGTATTGAGGATTTTGCGTGTATGCGTGTGTGGGTGTCTTGGGATATGTATCTGTATTCGGCCGATGAAGTAAATTTGTATGTTGAATTTCTCTAAATACCTATCAGTATCTGCTTCGAGATCGTCACTGTCACTGTAAAAGTCACAAAGAAATCAATCAGAAAAGAAACGGAAACAAGGATAGAAAATTGCTTATTGAGCACCAGCAAAAGAGCACCTAAATGGCCAAAGCCGCACACCATTTTAACAAAATAAAGGCTAAACAGAAGAAGTGCGTTGGTCATATACTAACCTGCCGGAGGCAATATCGACGCACTCCTTCCAGCGCGCCTCCTGCTCCTGACGACCGGACAGCGCTGTGGCATACTGCAGCTGTCGCTTGCGGAACTCCTCACTGAGGAAGCCAATGGAGAAGGCGTGTATGCGCCACATCATATAGTTGGCAATCACACGATTGGGCGTCTTGGCCAGCAGCTTGCCCAGCTCGTCGAAGAACGGCGGCACGGTCAGATTGATTATCTCGTCGTCCTGCACGGTAAGGCCTGCTGGCAGCAGGGCATTCATATAGTCCACCCAGTCAACGTACGGATAGGCAGCCTGCAGCTGCTGTGCGGTGCGTAGGTTGTGCAGCTCCGATGAGTTACGACGCTTCTCATTGGGCCAGGAGATCTAAAGAGCCATTGGATTGATATTGTTATAGTCTTAGCCAGTCAGAATCTGGTTTTGCTTACGTTGGCCAGCGCAATTTCGAACTCGAGTGATGCGAGCAGTTGTGTCTTGGCTTCATCCTTGTTGGCGCCAAAAAGCACCGCAATGTCCACCATGTATTCATAATAAGCGGTAACCAGGGTCTCATTAAATCCCTTAATCAGGTACTCGCGACTCAAAGCCAACGCGGACTGATCCACCTGTATATAAGAAATTCCAAAATCGGATCAGGTTTGAAACCATCTTCAATACTCCACACCTACATCGATAATGCGCTTAGTGCTGTTCTGCAGATCCACGCCAATGGAGAAGTCAATGATGTAGTCCATGCTGAAGCCGGCCTTGCGGAATTTCTTGACCTGTTCCTGCCAGGTCCAGTTGTCGTCCGCATTCCAGCTGTCGCCCTCAATCAACGGCCAGCCGCCCAGGGATTTGGCAATCTTGGCGATTGGTGTGGCGCCCAGAGATTCAATCAACGCTAAAAGACAAAACAAGAAATACATTGATTCTCCAGGATTCGAAGGATCAGTCATTTACATACTCTTGTTCATGCAGGCCTTGTACAGCAAATTGGGCAAACGGAAGTGTTTGGGCTCCGTGGCCGGTCGCTCGGCGGTGATGATGTCCTTGAGCTGCTCCTGCAGCTTGTCAGAGATGACGGAGAAAGTGCTGATGGATACCTTATCGTCGGGTATATTCTCCTCTTCAATGTAGGTGCCACAGGCGAACTCGTAGAAATTGTCGCATGGCTCTACATCCGCCTTGATCTTGCTCAGCACCGTGGAGGCAGTGTGTATGCACTCCTTGGTCAGGCAAACGTCCTCCGAATCCGGCTTTCCTTTGGGACCCTCAACAGACAACTTGTTCATATTGGTGGTATCGCTATGCAAAGCTGTCGCCTCCGGTGGAGCCAATGATGGTTCTGCATCGGCTCCGGATTCGGATCCGGATCCGGCACCTCCTTCGATCGGCTTGAGAGCATTGAATATCCAGAGACCGAAGCCTGTGGCGGCAATCAGGAATAGAATACCACTCAGGATGAGCAGGCTCCGCTCCAGCTTGGTGCGTCGACGCCACCAGTTGGGATTCCTGCCATGGAAGTAAACAAGAAATAAATAAGCAAAAGCAACAAATAGAGACAAGCTTAGATGCGACAAGCACATAAATCTTAATTAAAGGGCGCCCCTTCAGTGCGGGGCCGAGTAAAAGTAAATTTCACTTTGGCTAGCTGCGCGTGGACTTGTTTTCAATTTTGTTTTTGTCACCCCGATGTCATCGATAATCAATTCACTTTTTCTTTAGCTATCACCCGTTGGCCATCTCGTTTATCTTGTGTCGGCCTCGCGGCTGCTTCGGCTTTAAACTTGTTTATCAACATTGCCCCCTATGCAGCCGCAAAGAGCAGCCACACTGTGCAACAAATTCGAGTTGTCACTCGTCGTAAATTGCTAAGCACACGGCTTCTGCGAAAATTTCACTTTTACAGTTCATGTCAAAAGCTAAGCAAAACGGGATTAACAATGCCGCGCCGAACATTGAATACTCTTACTATGTGAATGTGAGCTTTTTCTCCTTCTTATGATCATGAGAAACCTCAAAAAAAAACATTGGCGTTAATAAACCGATTCTTAAAAACTCTCATTGGTTTATATTATATATGCTATGAATATTATATAATATATATGCTTTAAAAAATACAGTAGCACAGGCAATCGGCTAAGTTCAGAGCATTCCATATTATTTTCAGAAAATTAGAGCATGTCGTCTGTCTGAGGAACAATTTTAAAATTGTTTGCTTCTGCAATATTTAGATTAGATTTAAAGAAATGGCTTGTCTAATATAATTGATTTCTGCTGTTTTGGATACATTAACGCGGACGATCTTCAGATTGTAAAACACTTTTTTAAGGATTTGCAATGAGCCAAGCCAAGTCAAAACAAAAAAAAAAAAACAAAAGGCAAATCAAACAGTATAATCTTCAATTTGATAACTGTGGAACTTTTTTCCTATTTGGCGTTAATTGACGTTTCATTTATTTTGGCTTCCTGATATGAAGGCCACATTTGGGATAAACACTAATAAAAATATTATAAAAACTGAGTACGGCAGGCAAATTCATATTAATTATCAAACGAGTTATAATTGATTTTTTTTGTTTTACAAATAAAACCTGTTGCACAGTGTATGTTAATTGGCCACTTCCTTCCGATTAGCAAATGTCTGGTGAATTTGGCCATTTTGCAAGAGTTGTTTTTAAACGAAAATAGATATCGGCGCCAGAAAACTGGTTACATTTTGTGGGCCAGTTTTGAGATTTCTGAGTTTTAAGCGCCTGAGATACACTAAATGCTTGAGAGATATACAAAATATACGTCCCCACACACACGCACACACGCGGGTACACACAGGTCATGTTAATGTTAGCCAATGTTTTAGTGCCAAACCATTTCCGTGGCTGATGATTTTTTAGCACGCTTCAATTACGTCTGAAAATTAAGAAATAATGATGCGCACTAAAGCCAGAAGTTATGAGCTGTTGTTGGTGCCGATGCAAACCCGAATCCGCTTTTAATGAGCGATTAAGCCAGGCTCTATAAATCTATTTATGGCTGATTACATACATTATTTGGTTATTTTGAAATCTCATGGCCGAATGGGCCAAAGGTCAGCATATACTCATGTGTATATGTATACCATATACATTGTACTAATTGTTAAAGCGAGTCGTGTGCGGTCAGTTTTTGATTTTATCACTGGGTTCTGAATTTCGCTTTTTTTTATGTAAATATATAAATATCGTTGACCTGACAAACTGATTGAGTGACGAATAGCGCACAGACCATGTCTTTTTCCAGACCATGTCTTTTTCTTTTAATACTGCCCTACTATTCGATTCTCATCATTTAAAGGAACACATAAGTCTTATTATTATTATGCTCACCATCTAATAACCTTTATCTATGTGCTTACTCTCACTCTTAGTCTCCATCTTTCTTTCTCCTTTCGCCGCTCTCATTATTTTGTACTTTTTCTACTCTTTTACTCTGATTCTCAGATAATTTAATTCTTTTAATCATTTGTACATATAAAAGTCTGCTTCCCTTCTTCAAGAAAGCTGTATCAAATAAAATTGTTGATATAGATGATTAAGTATAGGAGAGAATATTTTACAAACTACAACCTTTGCTATAACTAGTTCGCATTGAAACAGATAAACGGATATGCGGACATGAATATATCAACTCGGCTGCTGATGCGGATCTAGAATCTATATACTTTATGGGGTCGGAGATGTCCCATTATATGCTTTACACTTTTCATGATTAAATTAAAATACCTTCTACAAGATAAAATAGATTAAGAAATTTCCCTAGATGCATTCCTGCAAAATTATTAAAATATGTTCTACTTATCAAAATTGCTTTTACTTTTCAAGTTGACATGCTCGAAAAAACAGTGTAAGTGGGGCACGCGCTTCAGCCTTTGGCCAATAATCAGATTGCAAAACACAACCAAATGCACAGCCCCAAATACATAAAAGAGAAAAAAAAAATGAATACTAGCCTAGCCGCACTCAAAACAATTATTTTGTTTAATGTGGCTGAACCTTTGCTATTGTTAAAGGCACAAAACGGAGCACTCGCCAATAGGCAGCCAACAACAAAGTCGCATCAATGTGAGCAATAAACCAAATGACAGCCTCGACATGCGAAAAAAAAAATGAAATTAAATTTAACAAATTGTTGCTGCGGCATTTTATTTAACATGTTACACGATGTTGTTAGCTACACAAGTGTATTTATGAGGAAAGCATTTGAAAATTAATTTTATAGAACTCAACAGAGTGTTTGTCAAGTTCATGTTGCATTCATAATTAAAAATTGAAGCAATATTTGTCTTAATGATTTGCACGTTGCAAAAAAACGAATCGAACAAAAGGCAATTCTTATAATTACAGCCAGAGAAAAAATATTAAATCACAAGGAAGAAAAAATAAACACATAACAAAATAAATAAATAATCATACGCAGCGTTTAACCAGTTTGTTAATATGGTGTTGAGCGTTTTTGCCACAAGTTAAGAATTCGTTTAATTGTGCATTATGTAAATTGAGCAGCCTTAGCAATTGCTTGGACAAAGTTGAATGACTTTCACGCCAAATCATTGTGCGGAATACAAAAAAATATTAAGTTGTGCTTTAATTTTAAGTTCACCACGATCTTAATAAACGACCACACCATACCCTGGGCCCTGCTTGTGCCTGAATGTATAGTTGATCTACATTCCTATCGCAGATATATATTTCTGCTTATTTTCACTTGTTTACGTGATTTCAGTTCCACTTTCAGCATTTTTTTCTCAACGTGTTTTTAGGTGAACTGCTCATTATTAAAGTGCTGTTTGGCTTTTTAATTATATGCAAACGATAATTATAATTGATTGTTTTGGGGAAGAAATACACAACAAATATTTCAATTGAGGAAAAAATGCCGGTCCGAGCAAGTTTTATTTATCGCACAAGCAGACGTTTCGGAGAAGTTTTTTAACTTGTAAAATTCGTGAATGATCAGTAAATGTGTGTATTTTGTGTTAATGAGATAAAAAGTAAATATTTGGATTGCATAATGATATAAAAATAATCACATATATTGCTTGGTAAAAGCTTTATTAGTTCAGTTGCTCATCTACAATGGTGGGTTGGACTGGACTCCCATATATCCTGTTTTATGTTAGAAGCGTTCCGGAACTTCAGAAAAGTCTCATCGAAAATGACAAAAGTTATATTGCGGAAAAATGTCGGATCACGTTTCTCAAAACACGATTACGAAAATGGGAGCAAATGTAAACGTGAATTTACTGATTATAAATATTATGACGCGAGTAATCCATGCAATTAACTTATTGTCTAATATCGGTGCCCATTAACTATCCAATTAGTTGGATGCAAATCGTGTCTGACCATTGGCAACATCATGCCATCCATTTCTTCCAATCCAATAGGCACGAAGCTCTTACCGCATACGGAATTCACGATCCGTAGCATCCATTCGAGAAGTGTTCTCAGAATTCACAATTTTGTTAACCATTTCCCGTAGGCTGTGGCACTTATTATGGTACAGCATTTGCCTCGTTTATGCAACAGCTATTGATTTTCGCATTGTCATTGCCAGAGCGTCGCGGCTGCGTCTTATCAGCGATATCAGCAGCCCCTTCATTTCAAATCCATACAACACGAGTGTCTGTATCTGTATCTGTATTTGTAACTGTATCTGTATCTGTATCTGTATCTGTATCTGTATCTGTATCTGTATCTGTATCTGTATCTGTATCTGTATCTGTATCTGTATCTGTATCTGTATCTGTATCTGTATCTGTATCTGTATCTGTATCTGTATCTGTATCTGTATCTGTATCTGTATCTGTATCTGTATCTGTATCTGTATCTGTATCTGTATCTGTATCTGTATCTGTATCTGTATCTGTATCTGTATCTGTATCTGTATCTGTATCTGTATCTGTATCTGTATCTGTATCTGTATCTGTATCTGTATCTGTATCTGTATCTGTATCTGTATCTATAACTGTATCTGTATCTGTATCTGTATCTGTATCTGTATCTGTATCTGTATCTGTATCTGTATCTGTAACTGTATCTGTATCTGAATTGAATCTGTAGCTGACTTGGCATATGGAGGGTGTGCTGCGAGTGATGTGAATTTTTTTTATTTTATTTATGAATATATTGTCCAGGTGCTGCTGCTGCCGCTGCTGGCTGTGTGCACTGGCAACTTTGTGCAAGTGTCGCTATTGGGGGGCGTGTCAATGGGCGCCGGTTTCAAGCTGTGCTTTTGTCTATGAGTTGCCCAATAAATGTGTCAAGTGCAGACGGCGCTTTTGCCATTGACGTGCGACACTTTGCCGTCACTAACAACTGCGCACACTCGCGCACACTCACGCACACACACACACACACACACACAGTTGCTGCTTACATTGCTTACTTTTAGGGCTTTTATTGGCCATATACCCATATTTCTTATTGTTGCTATTATTATTATTTGTTATTTGAATATATATTTTCGTCGTC